GGTGCCTCCTGGAGGAAAAAAGGGAAAAACAACCCCAGAACCTAACAATGATGGATTTTCTTGTAGAATAAAGACAAAAAGTACCTATCTACCCCAGTTCCTGGAGCTGCCTTCACACTTTCTGCTCTCTGCTTGGCTCTAATGATTGATCTAACAGACTTGGCCAAGCTGCACACCAAATTTAAGGGGGCTCAAGTTCCTCTTCCACCACAACAATTCCCTTGCAATTTTTTGGAGCGAGGCACCCAATTTTGTGAAGCTAACAGAAGCTGATCTCACACCAGATTTTCCCCCATATTCTTTTCTCTTGCTCAACCTTCAAATTGTCATTGCAGGAGAGGCTGAAGGAAAAAGACTATTCTGATCCATGGCCTTTCTTTCCGTCTTTTCTTCTCACCTCCATCCAAGAGGTAGATTAAACGTGGACACAGTTGAGTGTTCCAACAGGCCAATGATCCCAAATGTACATCAAAAATGATTTCTGAATGGATAAAGAAAAGTAACATTTGGCTTGTGGAAAAGTCTTTGGAATTCTCCAACCTTATTCCATCATCTTTACCCGCTTCTTCCTTTTCGAGTCGCCGGAGTCACTGGTGCCCATGTCCAGCAATCACTGTGCAAGAGGAGGGGGACAACCTGGACAGGTCTCCAGTCCATCACAGGGACACATAGAAACAAACGAGACAAACAACCTCTCTCACTCACACCTAGGAACAATTTAGAGTTACCAATCAGTGTAAAATGCATGTTTTTGGACTTTGGGAGGAAACCAGAGTACCCCAAGAAAACCCACACATGCACGGAAAGAACATGTAAATTCTACCCAGAAAGGTCTCGGGCCGGGATTTGGTCGGTGACCTTCTCGCTGAGAGGCAACAGCTCTACCAACTCTGATCCATCGTACCGCTGACATTGTGTTCATGCCAGGAAACCAACCAAAGTAAAAATAAATCTCTTTCAATTTGACCAAGTTGTCAAATGTCCAGTCAGAGTTGTTTCAGAAACTTGTTGATGGAATTTTCTTGTTGTGAATGGATGTAAAGGCTCGTTGTTGAGGTGTGTCTTACTGAGGGACTGAAAATACATAAAATTCAAACCTGTGTGCCAGATTTTTGTTTTTGAAATCACTGATGTTGCATTTTTTTTATAATCATTCCACATTTATAAAAAGAACAGTTTCAATAAATTGTTAAAAGTCCAAAATTAGAATGACATTCATGGCCATGTTGAGTGTATGTAATCTGACTTGCATTGTACTTTTTTAAATGTATTTAGACTTCACCTTTCCACCCTAAATGCCCATGTTCAATTTACATTTTAGACATTTTCCCAAAAACTGCTTTAAGGTTAAAGTTTAATCAGATTCATTGTCTTCTGTTGACCAAAAAAAACCTTGAATTTTGTTATTCTGATGTAAATTTAAATTCAACCATTTTTTGTGACGATCTCACACAAATAAAGTCCTTTTTTTACCATCTTCAGATTTTCTTCAGCTTTAAAGTTTCAAGGCTTCATTTTTTTGGCCATAAAGTCTGCTCCTCTCCTTTCTTAATCTTTTCATCAGTGAAGTTAACTGAAGTGAGACGTGTCCATCATCTCAGGCTTCAGGCCCCAGCTCACAGATAAGACCAGCTGTAATTTGTTGAGAAGGGCAAAGAGGTGGCCACACACGCAACGATACACATCAACACATACGTACATAGACAGACACATAAAGACACTGGTCTAAAGGATGGTTAGAACATATAGGTTCACTCACAAGTATTTTATGTATACTGTACACTGCCTGGAGCGGCACTGTGGATCAGTTGGTAGAGCTGTTGCCTCTCAGCGAGAAGGTCGCCTGATCAAATCCCAGTTGGGGGGCTGTTCTAGGTGGAGTTTGCATGTTCTCTCCGTGCATGCGTGGGTTTTCTCCTGGTACTCCAATTTCCTCCCACAGACCAAAAACATGCATGTTAGGCTGATTGGTAACTCAAAATTGTCCCTAGGTGTGAGTGAGAGAGTGAATGGTTGTTTGTCTCGTTTGTCTCTATGTGTCCCTTTGATGGACTGGAGACCTGTCCAGGATGTCCCCCAGCTCTTGCACAGTGACTGCTGGATATAGGCACCAGTGACCCCCAAGACCCAAAAAGAAAGAAGTGGGTAAATATAATATATAAATCTTTATTTCAAGACAAAATGTAGTCCATACCAAATAAAATAAAATAAAATAAGATTAAACAAATCATCAAGTAAAAAAGAGAAACACATTCATTACAAAGCATTACAGAGCTTGGGGTATATCTAGCATCGATATATGTTGCATTTGACAAAGCTCTTACTATTAAGTTGTTTGATACATCCAAGCAGCACATACATTTATACATGAAGTTCCTCAGCAAGGCATGAAAAGTTGGAATGTTGCTCATGACAAACATCTGACATGCAGATGTCCATCTTGGAAGTTTGAGGAGGATTCTAAATGCATCCTGATTGGCTAGTTGCAGTTTCTTCATTATAGCTTTACTGTAGTTACACCAGAAGTGAGCCGTATAAAAGAAGGTGCAATAAGTTCAAAAAAGGGACACGAACCTCATCTGTACAAATGCTAAATTTACGTGCCAACACATAAGCTTTCATGTACAACTTTACAACACTGTCGCTTCACATCATCATCATCTCAGAGATCACTCCTCAGAATATGACCTAGATATTTCACATAATTCACCACGTCCAAAACTTGATTTGCTAAATAAAAAGAAGGAAAATTCATCTTCTGATCCTCCTTAGTTGTAGCAATCATCACAACACTCTTCTTAGGATTAAACATGATGTCAAACTGGACACCATATCTAGCACAGACCCTGAGTAACTGCTGCAATCCAGCACTGTAGGGAGACAACAGGACCAGATTGTCTGCGTATATTAAATGATTTACAAGATGGTTACCCACCATACACGCAGTCTTACAATCATTTAGTTCAACAGACATCTCATTAAGGTACAAGTTAAAAAGGACAGGACACAAAATTCCACCTTGTCTGACTCCGTTAGTTATAGAAAAAGATTCAGAAACCTCCGAACCCCACTTAACTTGCATAGATTGATGAGAACACCAATAATCCTGATTAAATCCACAAGAACTCAATAGATGGATGCTGCCTGGCTTTTGTAAGATGGAGTGAATGACCGGCAGACGGTGTTGAGAGCAGCTGATCTCTGACAAATTATCCAGGGTCTATTTCCTCACCATAACGTTTCAGTTTTTGACAACCCAGTCTGCCATCCAATAATGAAGTCTTTGATCAGTGACGTAGTGCCAAGAACAGGCGGTGGATCAGAGCTCATCCAGCACTTATAGTCATGACAGCTGGTCAAAGACTGAACAAGCTAACAATGTTCTTCTACTGCACATCATGCAGCATGAGATCCTTGTCTCAGCTCGTTCTGCATCTGCTAAACCCTTTGCTTCTCCTACTTTCTTAGACTCTGCACCACAAGAAAATTGCAATCAAAAAGAAACACTTCATTTCTAAAAAAGAAAACTCTTCATCTGTTCTCATTTTGCACCAAAGACTCTGCAGGAAATGATTTCTAAACACATCCATAATGTATTTTTGTCATCATTGGCTTCATATTCTAAATAATAGGAACATTTAATGAGTGCAACAAAACAACTTTCCAAGCTGATTGAAGTGACATTTGTCCGCTAACAGAGCTCTTGTGTATCTAGGGTGCCAATTTAAAATGTGGAAAAAAATGTTGGATTATCTCTGAGACTTTAGGAAACAAATGCTGAGGAAAAGAGAAAAATGTCTTATTTTTACAAAGCAACATGATGATTTTGCTACATGTACTGTAGGTATAAAGAACTTAGACTAGAAGTGTGAGAGAGCTGTTTCACATCTAATTAACGTGTCATCAACATAATCACAACTTCTCTGACTTATTTGACTTGAGTGATATATAGAAATGCTGACAGTTCAGGACAAATTAGCTGAATTGGAAAAACACGGTGGATCAGTTGGTAGAGGTATTGCCTCCCAGTGAGACGGTTGCTGGTTCAAATCCCTGCCCAGGACGTTTCTGGGTGGAGTTTACATGTTCTCTCCATGCATGTGTGCATTTTCTCCAGGTACTCCAGTTTCCTCCCACAGACCAAAAACATGCATGTTAGACTGATTGGTAACTCTAAATTGTCTCTAGGTGTGAGTGAGAGAGTGAATGGTTGTTTGTCTCGTTTGTCTCTATGTGTCCCTGTGATGGACTGGAGACCTGTCCAGGGTGTCCCCCGCCTCTCACACCGTGACTGCTGGACACCAGTGGGCACCAGTGACCCACAAAGGAAGAAGTGGGTAAAGATCATGGATGGATGGATGGATGGATGGATGGATGGATGGATGGATGGATGGATGGATGGATGGATGGATGGATGGATGGATGGATGGATGGATGGAA